ACATATATTATGTATTCATTAATTTCATATAAAAATACAATGGTAAAATATGTATATATATTTTTTAAAAAAATTAAAAATAAATAAAAAAAATTAAAATTAAAATTAAAAAAAATATTTTTTTCCAATGAAAATTTTCGACTCAACATGATGACACGATTCAAACTCAATACGAAAATAAACAAGTCAACTCGCAACTCGACACGACACAATTAGATAAATGAGTTAAATTAGGTTTAACTAATATTCGACACAAACCCGTAATGACTCAGCATGAATTTGACACGTCACGATTCGATTTGTTACCCCTAATTTTAGCCAACAAAAAAAAAATGTATTTTTATTTTCTATCCATCCAACCAAACACAAAGGAAAAAAAATGTATCCTTCTTACTTTCCATCCTTGAAGGATAGAAAGTGTATTCCTCTTACTTTCCACCCTCCCTACCAAACGGAGCATAAAGTTTTGTAAATATATCATAATCATGTAATTCTTGAATTTTTTTTCTATTGGTGATTATAGTTGATTTTTTGTTTGGTTAAATCACATATATTTGATATTATAATCGTTAATATACAAAAATTAGATATTTAATTTCATAAATTCTTTATTGTCACACTGCATTGATACACTTTTAAATCATAACTTCACATGAATTCAAATTATAAAGTAATTTTATGTATCATGTAATTATAAATTGAACAAATTCATAACATCTGTTACTAAACCACCACGAAAATAACATATAGAAGAAGAAGAAAGTACAATTTAAAATTCAAACAACAATCATTATTGTAGTGTTTAATGTTCAAAACCAAAACTGTAAAGAAAAAAACATTTATAAAACACAAAAATATTAAAATTAACAAACAATCATTTAAAATAATAAAAGTTGACCAAAAAAATGACCACTCAATACAATAATTAGAAACAAATACAAAAACTGTGAAAACAATAAAACAAATTGAAATTAACTAGCAGTATGTGAAACGAAAAAAATAAAAAAAAATGAAAGTATAAATTCAACCCAATAATATATGAACGTTATAAAAGAAATAATAAAATATGTTTAAATTTTTTGTGTTCGTCGGAGAATAATATGTAATGTTATCAGAACCGAATCAACCATCGAACTGCTAGAGGGACTAGATCAATGATTCACTAGTTCAACTGTTGAGTCAACTAGTTGGATCGGTTATATAATAAAAAAATTACAAATATTATAGAACAAAATATTTTGATTAAATATGTCTAGAGAAAACTAGAAACCCATGTTCTAAATATCAAATTCATATCAAAGATAAATGCTGCATTTCACAGAAAATAAGGACAAACTTTGAACAAACTTTCTTTCTTTCTATCTTTCTTTCTTTTTTTTTTGAATCAAACTTTTGAACAATTAGATAACACATATTTGAACAATTGTAAAAATTAAAGCCACCACCATAACTAAAGAGAATGGAAGAGATTGAGTGAGAGAGATGACATATATCGACTAAATGAGAGAGATTGAATGGAGAAGGTCCAGATCTACAAGGAATCAAAATCGAGTAGAGAGTTGTAGTTGTTCGTCGAAGCTGTTGTTATTCGTCGCCACACCTAGAGTCGTTCATCACCGAGAAGAGTGAAGACGAAGTTGGAATAGAATTAATTTAAGGCAAAACGGCCCAAAAATAGGAGAAAATATTTATTATAACGGTGGTACCACGTGGTAAGGTAATGTGGTATCACCAATTAATAATATTAAAACAAATAAGCAGATGAACCCTACAAAAATCAATAACTAATCTGTTATGTAAGCAAATAATTTTGCCAAGTAAGTCCAAGTGGAGTTCATCTTTTCCATTCAGAGCCTTATTATTGGTTGATGATGTCATGTCAGCAATGGTGACATGATATCACCGTTATATTCAATATTTACTCAAAATGGATTTTTTTTCATATAAGGAGTAGAATTCAAACTGCTCGGTTATAAAAAATTGTCCGGTTCATGGTTTTGGCCAAAAATTGGCGATTTTGCGGTTTTGAACCGGTTTTATTTCTTAAGCAGTCTAACTAGAGAACCATATCGGTTAAGATCCCGGGTCACGGTTGAACTAGTTCAATCAATTGGTCCAGTGCAGTTCTGATAACATTGCTAATAAGGATGATATGTTTAAACTTTTTTGAACGTTAATTAATAATAATTTAGAGAAAGAGAAGAGAGATGTTTACAGATAACAATAATGAAAAAAAAAATTAAATTCAAAATAAAATAGATATAGACAATCAATGTTATATGCAAAAACTTGTGATAATATAATTTTTTCATTATATTAAAAAAAATTTAATAAAATAAAACATAATTAAAAATTTAATTAATTGTCAAAAGAAATATACATGATTTAATGGAGGATAAATATGTTAAAAGAAAATCACAAAAAATTAAATTATGTATTTGGACACAATTAAGTTTTAAACATAAAAATTTGATGACCTAACATTAATAATTATGTATTTTTTGACAAATAAACCTAATTTCAAAATTCTTTAGCTAACTTTCCAACGTAGAAAAAAAAAGAGTTTTCACCTAACTTTCCAAACGTAGAAAAAAAAAAAAAAGTTTTCAACTGTTTTTGGTTGGACTGATGGTTGATGAGATGAGCCGACAGTTAAAAAAAACATTAATATTATACTGATCAAACATCGATGAAATAAAAAAAAATATAATAAACCATTTAATGACACAGAAGATCGAAGTCAAATCTTTTTGACAGAGTTTATCGTTACTTCCAAGAGACAGACCATCATGACATGACGAGGGTCGTGTGGTTATTTGATCGAGTAATACTACCTAATTTAGAAATTTAATTTATTAAAAATAATAGTTAGATTAGTTGTGAGTTTCAATATTAAATAAGACTAGACTACAATTATATTGAATTCAATCTTCAAATTAAATCTAAATATTTTTCTTTTTGATCGTTACAATTATATTATTATTAGTGAAAATTATGATTTAGTTTTCTTTAAGGGACTTATAGTTTGAATTTAAACTCCTTAATTATAATTTTTTTTCAGATTATAATTCTATATAATAAAGTCTAAGATTAACTCTCTAAATTTATTTTTCTCCCCAATTGAATTTTATCTCGCAATATATCATCTCTCTTATTAACTATTATCTCATATTTCCAGGATTCAAATCCTGCTATCTTGCGCGTCTCTCGTAGGCCTTGGTAACAGGAGGACGGTGCAGTTTGACATTTTTCAGCCCATAGCCTATCCGTGGGCCAGGCCTCTAGGCTTTGACTAGTCAACGAGACGGGCCGCCCATTAAGAATTTTTAAGGCTCATGGGTCGACTTATTAGGCCGAAACGGGCTAAATATGGGTCAGGGAGTCCATTGGGTTTAAAATGGATTTTTTATTAAAAACTAGTTTTTATGTAAAAAAAAAATCAAAAAAATTATTTTTTGTATGAAAATACAAAAAGGCATCAATTACATTAAGTTGGTAATAAAAAATAAATTAACAAAAAATTAGTTATATTGATTAAATTTAACAAATATTCATATAGAGATATAATGTTATTATTTTACATCACTACAAATTTAATACATCTCAATTAGGTTGGCTCTTACACAATTATCAATTATTTTCAAGTCTCAACCTCATAAAAGTTATAAATCAAATATTAAATAAATAATAGAATTATGAAATATACTCTAATTATCTTATTGGGCTAACGGGCTTCTTAACGGGCCAGTCCACCAGGCCTCTAGCCATAAAAAACACGGCCCAAGACCTGCCACGTGTACAGGCAGGACTGCCAATTAGTCCTTTGGGCTTTCAGGCTGTGGGCAGCCTATTTTTGAACAATATGGGCAGCCCATTGGGCTTTGGGCTTTGTGGTGAATCAGCCCTCTCTCTCTTTTTGTGTTTCACACTGTGTCCTCACTCTCACCGTTTCACACATCTTCTCTTCCAGCAAAGACGCCACCGGCTGCCATCAGCAATCGCTCCTCCCCTCGCCACAGGCTGCCACCAGGTTTATCTTCCTCCCTCTCTGTAAATGTGTGTGTGTGTGTGTGTGTGTCTCTCTCTCTCTCTCTCTCTCTAAATCCAGAAACGCCAGTCCCCCAACCAAACCCATCCCCACCCGGAAACACCCTTCCGAAAAACCACTCCTCCCCTGTAAAACCTCCCCCAAACGAATTTCCGAAACCTCACAAAATCTTCCTCTCTGTTGTTTAATTCTCTGATTTATTACTTTGTTACTTTTCAAGTAGTTAGTTATTTTTTGGTACACATGAGAGGATATTTATAACAGCTTACGCAATCAATTGCCACGTGGTTTCTTTGATTGGAAGGTTGGTGTGAAATGGTTTGGGTCAATTTGCTCTTATTTCTTTCAATTTTCAATCGTACTTGTGTGTTTTATTGTTGCCGTGATTAAATACACGAAATTTATGTCATGGCCTTTAAGAAATTTGCATCAGGGCCTTTCACCAACAGTGGTTGCTTTATGAAATTCTTGGCATGAAATTGAGTTTTCTTTCTTAGTAGACCATAATATTTTTAACTGGGTTGTTGATTGGGTTCTACTGGGTGGAATCAGTTTTGGAATTTTCACATTCAAAATTGAATTTTAGTTTTGATTTTTTATTTTGAATTGGGCGGGCTTAAAGTGTGTTTTACAACCAAGCTCTTACATTGAAAACAATAAGTTCAAACCACACTTCTATACAAACAATGATAAATTGAAATATAAGTTAAAAACAACTCCAAGGTGGTATTTTCTCATTAAGAAAAGTTGAATATAAGATATCTAGATACTTTTGAAAGGTTCTCAAAATGAGTGTCATATCTTTACAAGATCCACTTTATACAAAAAATATATTGTGGCATCTACAAGGTATATAACACATCTATTAGATATATCTAGAAATATGAAAAAATGTAAAATTATCTAAGAGAATATCCAACAAACATTTTAGAGGTAAGAGGGACCTATAAATATGCCACCAGTAATTTCACTTTATTTAAGAAAAAAAAAATCAAACACTTACTTATCACTTAAAATATAAGTTATTATTTGCTATAAAAAGTTTCATCGGGCTACCATTAACTTTTCATAATTTTTTTTTTATTACTCCGTACCTTCAAGCAAAGGCAATTACTAGTGTGTATATATACATATATAGGAAAAGAGTTCTAACATTATAAAATTCTTAAATTTAGGAATTTTAGTTTCTAAATGTGTTTTAATTATAAGTAAAGTTTCCTAATTGGTTTTATGAGAACAGTTATTTTGTTGTTAAGGGTATATTAGACAATTTTTTCCCAAATGGACTTTTAGCTAAAAAAAAATTTATCGTGTATCGGCTTCCAAAAAACTCATTTTCAAGTACAAAAACCCATTTTCAAGTACAATGAAAAGCCCAAAATCGCACGTACAAATTGAGCCCTCAACCAAACCTCGTGGTTTAGTTCAAGTTAGAATAATTTTATACATTTCCAACCTCTTCTTGTCACACTCATTCAAGAATTAGTTGTGAAACGCTGAGCAGGACCAGTTGATTCAATATGAATCTCATTGTTTGATGGTAATTTACGTGATTGAGAAGTCTGTATGGTTTCTGAGAAAGTCAGAAAGCTTACGAAAATAAAATCCGAATTTGTTGCCTTTTCTTGTCTTTTGTGTTATTTATCTTTTAATAGTAAAAAACAAGATAATGAAACTTTTCTTGTGAATTTATTCTTTTTTTATAGTTTTTTTTTTTGAGTGTGCGTGGAAGTTCCTATAGCTAAAATACACAAGGTCGTAAGCTAGACTAGCTTGCATATTCCTACAAATTTATATTCAGTTTAGAATTGTTTTGCTAGTGGTGGGTTCATTTTTTTGTTTTTTCGTTGTTTTTTTTTACAATTTGAAGTCTAATTTTGTGGTCTTTATGTGAAAATTTGGTATCTTGTGTTAAATGTTATTTTACATGGACTGCTTATGAGTATCGGGTATGGTATGTGTCTCATGTTGGATTCAATTAATATCGAAATGCAAAGACATAGGGACAAGGTAGGATGTTCATATTCTATTAAATTTTCTAGGTATATGATATTCAAGGTAAATAGAATGTTCAAAATGGACAATTCATTCATTTGAAAGTAATTGTGGTACAAGGAAGAACATATAAAAAAGGTATTATTTAAGAATTCTGCAATAAAATAGTATTCCTAGATATGCCTGCTAAGCGCATATCCATTGGAAAATGTTGAATACATATAATAGACCTTAACTCATGCGTTGGGTGTTTGATAGGGTACTTGATGCATTTTGAATACATGTGTCAAAATGTGAGTGTCTGAAAAGCTTAGTTTGTGTGTGCCGCTTGATTGGATTCACCTTGGAGTTCTCATGTACCTATAGGATGACTATTTCTTGTTCATCTTTGGATTTGCTTAGGTAGTATTTTGTTCAGAAAGTTGAAAATAATCAACCCCTTCTTTATTATAGAGATGGTTACAACTCTTTTTTATTCTTTAGATTCAATTGAAAACTTTTTCTTGCATAATAATATCATTTAATGGTTTCTGGTTTTTTTTAGTGGGTACTGCGAGTGGTATACGGATCACTAAACAGCTTACCGTGGTGGTTTCAACTTTCTTTTTAGTTGTAAAAGGTCTATAATTAACTGTAATGTCATGTTGCCTCTTCTTTTACGAGTCAACATTCTTATTGTTGTTGAAAATTAGTTGACTTGGGAGAAACATCATTTCGCTTGCATCGGTATTGCATACCAAGGTTGTCAAAACGTGTATCAGAAAATGTATTATTTTTCAAAAACAATGTATCATGTATTGTAAGATACATGCAGTTTATAAAAGATTTTGAAACATATGTATATCTATGACAAAATAGCATAATAACATTTTATTGTACCATAATTTAAAGAGACTACAAGGACCTAAACAAAAAATTATCAATGTAAGTATTGAAGCTTCTAACATCATTCATAAGTATCAAAATTTAGAGAGTTCTAAATCTAACATCTAAAATAGTCAGAAAATGACACTTTTAATAATCAAACTATTTGCTCCTGCAATGGAACACAAAAAAAAAAAAAAAGTTTTTTTATTTTTTAAAATTATAAATGGTGAAATGACGTCGTTTCATAGTATTTGAAAGAATTATTTTCAGTGAATAGATGTCGTTTTTGGTTAAAATTCAAAAACAAATTTTTTGATCGCCCTGTATCGGACGACTTATACGTATTGTATTATGTACATGCGATACAGTTCAAACCGATACAGTACGTATCGTTTTGTTTATGTGTCGAAACATATGGTATGTATCGTATCACATATCATATGATACTAACAACTATGTTACTGAGCATGAAAAATCATCACAAGTCTGTCAAGTTTCGTAGGAAATTGTAGCCACGGCAAAGCTACTTTAGTAGCTTTTTGCAAGTTGAGTAAATGATAACTCGCGCAGGTGATATTGGAGGGAACCTCATGTATCAAAGATGGATGAGATGAACTCTTCTTCCTGATAAAACATTTCTTCCTGAACTCTTCTTCCTGATAATTTGACATTTGCATTGTTGTATGCTATTGCCCAATGGTGTATGGACTAATTGAGTGCACTAGAAGTTATACCTTTTCTCAAAATGCTTTCTTAAGAATACTTATATTTTTATCAATTCCAATTGCAGGTTCTAATGATCATAAAGGGCCTGCTCCGGAGATATAAAAGATGGAACCCTGTGCATCCTACTTCTGGTGCATTTTGGGGCATTGGAATAGGTGTGGGTTGCGGGGTTGGATGGGGTCCTGGCTTTGGTCCTGAGGCGATTGGTTATGTTGGAGCTGGCTGTGGTATCGGAATTAGTGTAGGGATCACTCTGGTTGGTTTTGGCATTGGTCTTCCTGCAAATGGCCTGTTTGAAGCACCTTACAATGGTAAACTTCTCATTTCTGTAGTTGAATGGTTTTATAAATGTTCTGAACCCCTCATTCACATTGGAAGTTACCTTTAATCTTTCATGTGCATCTAAGGAAACCGACACACTAGGAAAAGTGATAGGTGTAGAGGTTTATAATTTTCCTTGTATTGCTCATTTATAGTCTTGATTGCCAATTCTTTCATGCCTCTAAGCGAACAGAGAGACTACAAAAAATGTTGTGTTGGGGTTTATAATTTTTCTTCTATGCTTACCAGCCTTGTTTCATCTTTCTATGCACATATATGTTATAAGTGCGCAATTTTACTCTTGATTGCCAATTGTCAGAACTTTCTTTTTTCACTATTTTCTCTGTACCAGCTTTTATGGCTACAGGAACTGCTGTAGTGGAGTTTGCTCGATCCAATGGTCTACTTAGCATGGGAAACGTTGCCGGTGATGGTTGGAGGAACATTGGACCACACATTTCTGGGTTGAAAAGAAACGCAAGTGGAAAGTTCCCAATCTTCAAGTACGAAAATCCCTTGGACACAGGGGTAAATTTTTCTGAGATGAAGAGCACCATGTATTCCGGTAGTAAATCTATTCTGGATCATTTAGGAAGAATCAGTGATCGCTTCTTTCATCCTCACAAAGGTACGCTAATAACTTGGAAGTTTTTTTGGGTGGTAAATAACTTCAATGTTAATACATCTTAGGAGATCACCATGTGTTTGAAAGTGTTGGTTTTTTGACTGGTAACTGGATTGGTGTGTTCCCTGATGTGCCTATTCTTGTCACCAACTGCATGCAATTATGTTCAATGATATTTGATCCTTGTCACCTTTTGCAATTGTGTTCTAATTATTTGTTATCTCCTTTCTTCGAGAAACTATTCTGGTCATACTTGTGCTATTCTCTGTTGAGCCTACTTGCAAGGCAAACTGCTTTGAATTTGTACAAGGGCCTGCTTAGGTCGAATGCCCATTATTAGCCTTGGAGCTGCTTGCTAAAAATTCAATCACTGAATTGAATATATGAAAATTAAATCATTAATGAATCATTTGTGGGGTTTGGCTCTTTGCACAACCCACCATTTATGCTGATGTAGTCCCATATGTTGCTCTAGTAAAAGCAAGTTCATAGAAGCAGGAACTTTGGAATTCAAATTCAAGCATATACATTACATATATGTCCGTGTGTGTGTATTTATACAAGTCCGAGGGAAAGAAAAAAAAGTAAAAAGAGTTGGACTCAGCACATATACGTCATTATTCGGCTCATATAAAAAATATGCAAAATTATTCAGTATAATATATGATCAACAGACTAAATAATCCCAACAAATAAATATATAGCATATCATACTATTTAGGATAATTGCAATAGGAACTTAACCTGTTTGATTCTATATAGATTTGAGTGTGATCCGGTTATAATCCAATCTCTTAAATTGGTTGTGGATTTGAAAAAAGCGAGAGTAGGAAAGGAAACTTTTGTTGGATAAGATGGATTTCACCCAAAAAAAAATGTGAAAAAGTCAAAAGGATTTGCATGCAAGATGAAGTTGATCCATCAAGTTTATAAGTGGGAACCATTGAAGCAAATCAATAGTCTCTAAAGTCATTTTACATCTTGAATATAACTGTAGGAATGCCACGATGAGGTTTAATATGGAGTGTTTGATAAAGAATTTTATATACGTGAGAAGTCTTGACAATTGGTGACATTTATTCTCCTCTGCTTCACAACTCCCTCAGTCATAATATGTATGTATATGTATGCTTGTGCATGTATAAATTAAATAATATATGCATATATGTCAGACATATGTATTCCAATTTATGAGTACACTTCAAACCAACCAATTCCGCGAAAAGTTTTCTATGATAGTGGCAGTTTTCAATATGTGTGCCAACATGAGGTAACCAAATCACCCGCAACTTAGCCTACTTACAGGGATTTCATTCAGATTATGAACATCATTTAAGGGATTAGGGTCTTTGAAATTCCTTATTATCTTTGGATCAAGGGAGCTTATTGCATGATAAGGTTATAAAACCTAGTCTGATTATATCAAGCATTCTGTCCCCCGGATTTTGCATTTCTATTCCTCTTATTACCATACCAATTTATATTCTTTCATTAAAGAAGAAGTGGGGAAATAAATGTAGTGCACATCATCCTCTTGCAGGTTTAAAGGATTGACACCATGGAGGATTCTTAACCCTGTAGCCACTTATTGTAAGTATCGTAAGAATTTGATATTTGCCTTATTCTTCTTAAGGAAATAGTTGTAATATCAATAATATTCATTGGCATATCTTTGTATTTACAAGAGAAAAAATTTCTCTCATTTTGGTTTCCTCATTTTGTAATTTTGTTGATCATAAATGTACTTATTTTGTTAACTCTTATATTGGATAGAGAGCAAAATATAGTCAATATTATATTTTCTTTCTCATTATTACCAGCTTCAGTAACTCTCAAGCATGGTTTTCATCGAGGTTGGTTGACACTTGACTTGAGGAGATGTGATAGTGGGGTGTTGAAAATGGTGGTAAACGGGGGGTGATCAAGTTTTGCCTCTATTGTTGTAGGGATTTGCACTTGTGATTTTCAGTATATTATGTCTCCCTTTTTCAAATTTTTTGTGGGGCGTTCTTTTCATCACTTATCAATATACTTCACTAGTAATTAAGGATCAAAATATCGTTTCGAAACAGTCAAAACGTCCGAAACGTTTCCGTTTCCAAGGAGACCGAAATGAAACAGTAATGGAATCGAAATTCTGATATTTCGAGGTATTCCATATTGTTGTTTAATGTATTATAATATTCCAATGCATTTGCACAATTGTTTTAGAATGTTTTAAGGTATTTTAAGATATTTTGATATATTTTCATCAATGTTTTAGAAAAATAATTCTTAAATATTTTATTTTTTTCATTATGTTTCCGAAACGGGTCGAAATGTTTCCGAAACACGTCGAAACGTTTTCGTTTCCGTGGTGACCGAAACAATACATCGAAACGATATTTTGATCCTTGAAGCTGTAATATATGCAACCTTACTGGATTTGTAAATTCTTGGCTGTTATTGACATGTTGGGATGGAACCATCAGTCCAGACCCTACCTACGTTCCCGGGGGAGATTGGGGGGGATGGGAGAGTGGGAGAAGAAAGGAAGGTGAGGGAAAGGGGAAGCACAGCAGTTGAACTCCAACTTTGCAGACAGCTAAGGAGTCTTTTCTCTGTTTTTCGGGCTGGAATTTCCCCCAGGCACATCGTGCCTAAGCTAAACTTCTAACTTGCCTTGTCCTCAATTATCTGTTTCATGAGGCTTGTAGGTATGCTAACTTTGGCTCTTGTTCGTATTGAAGCTATTGCCAGGCTTGAAGTTCATGTCCCTAACCGGCATTTTCTATCTAACAAATCGTCTCCAAAAGAAAATCAATGTTGTTTGTTGGCAGGTAAGCCCCATTTTGTAACACTCCTTTTTAAGTAGTTTTTGATTTTTTTTTAGCACTTTTTTTTTTCATATATATTTTTTTTCTTTTTTCTTTTTTCTTGTTCAGGTTTACTGTACTTCCTTCCTCCAAGGTTAAATGCATTTATAGTAGTATACATATGCATTTGTATAGGTTTATTACTTATGTCCTAAGATTCATTCAGATCATTTTTTTACAGAGGAATCAAATAAGTTTTTGCTTTACTGACGAAATTGTTATTTTCTTGGATTTTTTTTTTTTTTTTGAACTTAAGTTTCCAAATGGTAGCTATATTTTATTCGGGAAGTTTAATAAAGTCTGAATCCTCTGCCTTGGCAACCATATTTACTTCTATTTTACGTAAATATTTACTTATCAAAAGAATACTTTTAGCAGAAGCAAAACGGGTTAGAATTGACCTTACATGTTTATGTTTTTCAAAGAAATAAGCAGGTACCAGAGTAATTGATAACATGATTATAACAGTGTAGTCCTGTGAATAAATTTATAACCTTTGGTTACTTTTTATTTAGTTATTTATTTTTGTAGTATGTTCAGTTCGGGCATTATGTGCAAGCCAAGCATAATCAAAAACTAGTTCTCTCCAGTAAAAAGAAACAGTCCTTTTAGTTGTATTTTTATGGATAAACTACTACAATGGCATGGCATCCTTCTAGTTTCTCACATTTTCTTGTTATTTTTAAATTTACGTTCACACCCCTTCAGATGTACCTGTTTTGTAACGCATTAGCCCACCAACTGACAGACTCTCAGCTCAGGACAAACTGATTTTGCTGACGTAAGTAAATTACATAGAATTAAGTACCCATTTTACCCCTTAAGTGATAATATATGTGTGTGTGTGTGTGTGAAAGAGGGAAATTTATTTGATTTACCAAACAACTTTTAATTTAACAACAAATCTACTCCTGCAGGAACAATCACATGGCTCTTTTCCTGCAGGAACTTGACAAGAGTTTCCACCAGCTGTTTATAACCCATTGTGCTTGAACCTGTAGGAACAAATACCTTCTTTCCATTGAAGAATTCATCAATCATTCTTGTTAACATGTCCTCGGTCACATAATTCTGAGAAACAGAAACCCATGCGTAGCAATCGAAATATCGCTGCAGAGAGTGGTGGTTGTACGCCTCAGCAACCACAGTGGTTTTCCCGGCGCCACCCATTCCCACCACTGAAATCACAGTGCGCTAGCTGCCTATCTCCATCCATCAACCACCTTAACGGTAAATCCTTTTCTTTCTCTGTGCCTACAACATTGTCACTCTCAACGAAGAAGGAACACTCCCCCAGATTCTCCACCCTGCTGGGACTGTGATCTGAGCTTGAAGTTGAACTTTCTTTGAAATGACCCAGATCATATCTCTTCTTTCGGCTATGGCTTTGATTTTCTTCAACTTGGTGGCGGTTCGATAACTCAAGAGTGCTCTTCTGGGAGGTGAATTCTACGGAGGAGAGAGAAACTACCCATCAAACCACCACCACCACCTTTGTTTATGCTGTCCATGTGATCGATGAATTCATCCATTATGTCTTCAACTTAATAAGGTGCATTGCGTACTTGTGCCAGCCAAACACTAAGCCTGTGAATCTGGTCTTTGTACCTTTCAGCATCCCTTACAAAAGATCTCATGCTCTCGAGCTCGAGCTTTATCTCAGAGATTTCACTGTGAACTCTTGTCATCAAGGTAATCGTTCCCCCCATCCAGGACAATTTCTTCTCCAGTAGAAAGCTGAGGTTCAAAATTGAGACTTCCACGGCACACCCAGCCATGTTTTTGCTCTCTGAATCTCTCTAAATTCACAAAACAAGTTTAATTACTTGGTCTTTCTTGCTGCTTCTTCCTCTCTCTCCAAGATTTTTGAGGTACCGTTAACAAGTGTGATTGAGGTAATGAATTTAGTCAATTCAATTTTGTGAATTTGGTGAAGTTGACATCCACTCTGAATCAGTGGCTACTGGAGTTTGTAGAAGTCATTGTACAAACATTAATAATACACAACTCTAACTAAGAATGACATGTTAATTAACGTTTTAATTTGAATTTTGATAATTTTTTGAGGTTAGTTTACGAAGAATTTATTTTTTATGAATACCTAGTCTCGGGTTTGAATCTTGGTAACTCCTTGAGCCAGTATATGGAGGATTTATTTCTCATGAATACCCTTGTTCCAGGTTTAAATCTTGACAATTCTTTGAATTAATACATGAGAGATTTATTCATCATGAATATTCTAGTCCTGAGTTTGAATCTTGACAATTCTTTGAGGTCAGTACATGAGGAATTTATTCCTTATAAATATCCTAGTTTTAGCGTGAATTGTCTGTTCTGACCGAACTAGAGAAAAAATTAGTTGCGGCATTCAAATAGCCCTAACAGTCCCAAAAAAAAAAAGGTAAAACCCGTATTAGGATATATCGGAAACAGCCGTTTTTTCCCCCCATTGTACTCTTCACCGTATCATTGTACTGAATAACCCAATTATTGTCACAAAACCACAAGAGGAATACTACGTTACGGACTTACTGAAATTTAGTCCTGTTATAAATTTTTTTTAGGTGTAAAAAATATGATCAATCACAAAATGTTATGATAAATCATAAAAATTATATTTTTTAAATGTTAAATTACAACTGATTGGGTTATTTATGATCAATCATGAATAATCTAAATTAGTTATAATTTTACTTTTAAAAAATATAATTTGACCATTAAAAGTAATAACTTCTGTTCAGAGTCAGAGCCATAAAATCGTTTTTGGGTGGGCATTGGACATTTTAATAAGGTTTTAATTTTTTTTTCTCACAATCTACAAAAGTATGATAATGCATTAATTTTTTTGGTTATGCTAGATTTAATACTTCAAATTTTTCTTCAAGACAAAAATGCCAAAAAATAGGTAAGCACAATCAAAAGAAAACAAAAAATTAATTAAAAGTTTTTTGTTTAAAAAAAAAAAAATGGTGTGTCATCTCATTTGAAAGCATTTACCCACGATCAATTTTCTCAATGTTAGGCATTAACAATCAAGAACCTAACAATATTCACAATTGATTAAGAATTAAATAATAAATTATTAAAAACAGAAGAAAAACATTGTCAAAAATAGTATTGCTATTAAAGAAAGATATTTGCTACTTCAAGAATCAAGGAAACCTCTAATGGGTTACGCTACAAATAATTGAGGAGTTTAAGAAGTTTTTAAAAACATTAGTGTAATACAAACTTAAAAAATAAAATAATTTTAAAGAGAAAAGAATTTTACACAAGTTTGGACCAATAATAATAATATAAATAAATTAATCATAGATGGGTGGGCACCATTAGCTACCACCACTAAATAAGTTAAAAAAGAATTAATGGTAGACTGGAGGACAAACCAACAGACTCAAAAAAATCAACCATCACTTGTTTTTGTAAAAAAAAAATTCTGCGCGAGAGTATTCAGATTAATTTATATATATTTCAACTAA